TTAGAGGTGTCTCAATAGGAAGGGGAAAATTACTTCGACAAGATATAGTAGCCCTCGATTAAACCTTGTATAAATTTTGTTGAACATTTCATTGTATTCATTTCAACTAAATAGATCATTGATCTGCTGTGGCTTGCCCCAGGTAAAGGGGCTGCCATATAGGGTACCCTAGTTGGGGTTTTCTTTTTTTTGGAATGAATGGGGACATCGGAACCTATAACCAAATTTGAGTCGTGTGTTAAATTCGATTAATTCCCATATATAATTACGGCTGATTTCATGTAAATCAGGCTAGCGACACGTCCTTTTTATATACATAAAATTTGACTCAGTCAACTAAAAAGGTATTAATATGGCATTCGCCAATATTCCGATTTGAGGTAACTGAAGTACCAGTGCCACAATATCCATCCGATTAACATACAATTTTCTCCAACAACCATATTGTAGCTAGAATGATGTTCGTCAACTTCTGTAAAGTTCCGATTACCAATTTATTGTGGGTTTTAATCTGATTTTCAAGAGATCTTCCCGCTTATACCCCACACTATGTATACCATATTGAATTTTAGAACCCTCTCTACATAGGTTCCTCTCTTACACATTCATCACTTCAACACACACCTCTTTGCACCCCAAATTTCTCAGCCTTGCCAATTTTTTCCATAATTTATCTAAATACTGCCAAAAAATCGAGGGCAGGATATATTTCCAGCAAAAGCAAAAAAAGAAACCCATATGTCTAATTGTGACAACACATTTGCCAAATAAAAAGAAATGCAACATTTCATCTTTAAAATGGCTACAAATCACAGGAAAACTACTTGAATTTTATGACAAGTGTCAGATACCTGGCCATTATAGTTTCTTATTGGAATAAAGCCAGTTTTTTCTGCTTTAACAAAAGGACACTTTTAAATAACTAAGGATCCATGCGAACACCACCTTAGTCTTGCAACGTAATGCCAGATATAAAATATTTGCAACATTTCTGTTCTACACTTCGTTAGATTTTTTTTCTTGTATGAAATATTATTCGGAAGTTCTTTTCCTCTCTCTCTCACTCTCCATCATCCTTTTTTTTTGGCAACAACATTTCATATTGTCCTGGCTGTGTTATCCCTTTACATTTATCATTGTCACCGGGGACAGGTATTGCAGTTCCAGTTTGCCAATGCAATGTTGCACATAACATTGTGTATGAGTATGTGTGTGTCAGGACTCACACATTCATATTTCATTCAAATCTATGATTATGCAAAATGTCCTTTAAAGTTTCATCACACACTCTCACACACACACAGAGAAATTCCAACACAATATCATTAAAGAAAACAATTACGGAGAATTTTTAATATTTCCATATGGTTGTCACATACAGGGATGCAGGTGTATTATGAGGTGCGTGTGTGTAGGGGTTTTTAGGAAGGTAGTGTGAGAATTACTTATGCAAATTGTATGAAGCAATATCCCAAGGTATTTGTCGGATTCTTTGAACATGTATAGTCATGCAAGTTTTTTTCATTGTGCTTAACAAAAGATAACATGGAAATTTAAATGGTGTTTCGGCAGCAGAAACAGGGTGAATCAAAAAATGAAAATGTATGATAGGCTGAATAAACGTTTTCTAAAATAAAACAACACTATTCAGACAGGCTGAATAGAAGTTCTCATAGGGAAAAGTACTATTCTCCTAGGCTGAATAAAAGTTCTCACGCAGAAATCACTATTCAGCTGGGTTTGCTACAAGTTTTCACAAGAAAAATTTCAAGAAAAAAACAATTCAGCCAGGCTGAATTGAGAATTTGCTAATAGAAACTCTAGTCAACCAAGATGAATTCTATTCCGGTCTGCTGTATTGAAAATGTTGCTAGATGTAAATCTATTTAACCTGTTGAATTAAAGTTTTCCATTCCGACCGGCTGAATTGAGAATTTTCTATAGGAACTTCCATTTCGACAGGCTGAATTGAAACTTTCCGAAAGAAAATGTCATTTCGTAAGGTTGATTTTGTAATGAAAAATCTTTTCAGTCGGCTGAACTGGAGTTTTTCTATAAAAAATCCATTCCGACACGCTGAATTGAAGTTTTCCTGAAGATACATCAATTCCGCCTGGCTGAATTAAGAACATCCTAAAAAAACTTCCATTTTACTATGCTGAATTGAAATTTTCTTAAAGAAATTTCAATTTCACTTGGATGAATTGAAAATTTCTTAAAGAAACTTCCATTACATCAGGCTGAATAGAGAATTTCTTAAAGAAAGTTCCATTACACCAAGCTGAATAGAAAATTTCTTAAAGAAACTTCCACTCTGCCATGCTGAATTGAACTTTTCCTAACAAAATTTCAATTTCGCCTGGCTGAATTGAGAATTTTTTAAAAAACTTCAATTCAGCCTGGCTTAATAGAGAATTACTTTAACAAACTTCCACTCTGCCATGCTGAATGGAACTTTTCCTAAAGAAATTTTAATTCCGCCTAGCTGAATTAAGAATTTCCTAAGGAAACTTCAATTCAGCCATTTCACGAGGCTGAATTGAAAAAAAATGTCAATTCCACTTGGCTGAATTGAGAATTTCTTAAAGTAACTTCAATTCCGCATGCTTGAATTGAGAATTTCCTAAAGAAACGTTCATTACACCAGGCTAAATTGAGAATTTTTTAAATAATCTTCCAATACCTCAAGCTGATTAGAGAAATTTCTCAAGAAAGTTCCATTCCACATGGCCGAATTGGAATTTTCCTAACGAAATTTTCATTCCACTTGGCTGAATAGAGATTTTCTTAAAGAAACTTCTACTCTGCCATGCTGAATTGGAAACTAATGGAAACTCCATTCAGCTAGGCTGAATTAGGAATTTCCTAATGCAAACTCCATTCAGCCATGCTGAATTAGGAATTTCCTTATGGAAACTCTATTCAGCCAGTCTGAATTCGGAATTTCCTATTGGAAACTTTATTCAGACAAGCTGAATTGAGAATTTCCTAATGGAAACTTTATTCCGCCAAACTGAATTGAGAATTTCCTAATGGAAACTTTATTCAGCAAGATTAAACTTAAAATTTCCTAATGGAAGCTCAATTCAGCTAGATTGAATTTAAAATGTCCTAATGGAAACTCTATTCATCCAGTCTGAAGTAAGAATATCCTAATGGAAACCCTATTCAGCCAGGCATAATTAGGAATTTCCTAATGGAAACACTATTCAGCCAATCTGTATTAAGTATTTCCTATTGAAAACTCTATTCCGCAGAGCTGAATTAATAATATCTTAGTAAAAACTCTATTCAGCCAGGCTGAATTAAGAAATTTTCTAACGGAAACTATATTCAACCAAACTGATTTGAGAATTTCCTAAAGAAAACTCTATTCAGCCTAGCTGAATTGAGAATTTCCTAATGTAAACTCTATGCAGCCATTCTGAATTAAGAATTTTCTGATGGAAACTCTATTCAGCCGAGCTGAACTCAGAATTTCTTCAATAGAAATGTTATTAATTTTAATTATTAAATATTTTGCATTCAAAAAAAATATATGTATGTATTTAAAATTGTTGTTGTAATTATTTTTTATGGCAACCCTATAAATTAGCTCTCATAATGGCACACTTCTGCCCTAGAACATTAAATAGAATATTAAAAATTTAATGACTTATTTTTAAGTGTGTGCCAAGCATGTAGACTTAATAGAAATTGACAGTTGACTTTGTGTGCCTGTGTGTGTGCGTTTGTGTATTTGTTTGTATCCACCCATAATCCATAGACATGATAAATACATACGCATACAAACATATCCAAACGACTTTGTGAGATCAAAAGTGAAGTGGAATGAAAGTGTTAAGTTTGCTCTATTCGGATTCCATTCAATTGGCATAATGGCATTGTTGTTATTGTTGTCGTCGTCGTTATTGTTATATAACTCTGGACATACGGACAAAGTGGCTTTTAAATCTTTGCCAGACGACTGGCAACGGCAATCAACTGTATTAACACGGAAACGGAAGTGTACGAACGAACATCATTTCAAATGAAGTCATACGAAAGCGAAAGCAATGCGAATAATGGCAGCAAACACTAGAATTGCACTTACTTGGATCAGAGGAGCACCAAAGGCGATACAAAAAAGATTAATGCGAAACACAGTGGGACAAGAAAATAATAAAAAGAAATCCTCAACCTCAGTTGAGGTCGATATTTTTTTCTATAGAAAAAAATCCTCAACCTCAGTTGAGGTCGATATTTTTTTCTATAGAAAAAAATCCTCAACCTCAGTTGAGGTCGATATTTTTTTCTATAGAAAAAAATTCTCAACCTCAGTTGAGGTCGATACTTTTTCTCTATAGAAAAAAATCCTCAACCTCAGTTGAGGTCGATACTTTTTTTCTGTAGAAAAAAATCCTCAACCTCAGTTGAGGTCGATACTTTTTTTCTATAGAAAAAAATCCTCAACCTCAGTTGAGGTCGATAATTTTTTTCTATAGAAAAAAATCCTCAACCTCAGTTGAGGTCGATATTTTTTCTATAGAAAAAAATCCTCAACCTCAGTTAAGGTAGATATTTTTTCTATATAAAACCTTGAGTTCGATATATTTTCTATCAAACAAATCAAAAAGCGAATTTATTTCCCTTTTTTCTCAACTTCGTCCCACTGTCCAGCTATAAATTGATTCGCTTGACCAGCAATCAACAACCTATGACTCTCAGTACAGTTTTTAAAAGCATTTATTATTAACAGAACTTTTATGGACCTGCAGCAGAATAGTGTAGACAATTTGAATCACAGGACACCAACAACAACACAATACTAACATTAAATAAACTCTGGACTGGAACACATTAATAATCAGCATATTACCATTTACAGCGGGGCAACAAATCCCAAAGGACCATGGCCTGGAAGCATAATTTTTTTTAATTGATGCTGCTCATAAAAATCTATTGCAATTCATGTTTTAATTCCATATTCTTCTCTTTTTTTCTCCATTTCATTTTAACAGGGTGCCGGTTGTACGGCTCTTCTAGTGGCGGTCGTATCCAGAAAATTGGAATTGACAAGGGCTGAAAAGCATGTGCACAATTTTATGATGGATACTCAGTTAACGAAAAGGGTATTTAAATTTAGTTTCAAAGTTAATTGTTGTTAACACTCTCTTTCTCTGTTTCTCTCTTGTTACGTGTTTTTTTCTCTTTATTATTTACTGTTTTTTTTTTAATTTTTTGTTTTCTGTCTTTTTTATTTTTTTTTCTACTCTTTGGAAAATTTTTTTGTTATGTTTTATGCTACCAACTTCTATAAAATTTTTTTCTTCTTACTAAAAATGTATTTTAAAAAAATATATATTTGATAAAAAATTGCATATCCTGAGTTTTCTCTCTCTAAATGGTGTAGCTAGATTTTTAGAGGGACTAGAGAAATCTTGGCATTTTTGTATTTTACTAGACCCTTCTAATAGCTACGCCAGCAACTTTTATCCTTATCTGCTACTAAAATCTGCCCTTCCATTTCAACACCCTTCTATTTAAAAATAAAAAACCCTATTTTCCTTCCCAACTTATTAAATTTGTTGCTAGCGCGTTATTAATTATTTTTTTTATTTTATTTAATCTAGCTTAACATTGCATTACACATTTAAATAATTTTTCACTTCACATATTTAATTAACACCAATAATAATAATAATAATAACAATTATAATTATTATTAATAATATTTATGTATATATATATATGTATATAAAATATGACCATGACTTACCATTTAACCATAACATAACTTGGCCATAACAATTTTCAAATATTTACATTGGCAATTATGCCGATGACAGCAAATGTCAAATACATAAATAAAATACAAACAATATATGGACTATATGTGTATATATGTATATATATAGATATAGAACAATGATATTATTTACACTTAATTGATTATTTATTGAATATTTGTGTTTTTGACATTTTTTAATTTTTTTATTAATATTAGATTACGATATTGACGTATTAAATTCTGTTAAAGCAGACTAGAAAATAATTGCTGAAACGAAAAAAATTACAGCAACTGAAAAAATTTAATAATTTTTAAAATTCATAATGAATATTAAACGATTTTAAAACATCACAAGTTCTTGTGAATTGTTCACGGTTATTCCTATTAGAATTAGGAACAAATAATAACAAAATATCAGCTCACTAACTCTAAACAGCTGGACCCGTAAAAATGGCTAAAACGATGTGAATTTACTTCGATTTACCATACAAAATTAAATATTCACTCAATATCTCTATTTCAAATACAACTCTGTTTTTACATCAAAAAAATTTTTGATTTTCCTAAAAGTATGCTACAAAATATATTAATATTCAAAATAGTTACCTTGCTAATGGCCAGGGATGGTCCGCGTGACGAATTTTTAGGTTTTCGACTGTCAAAAAGGTGTAAACGTCAAAAACGTCATATACTTGTATAAAATGTAATTAATGTAGTAAACGTCATTTATTTGAATATTATCACTATATACAATTACTTTCAAGAATATATATTATTTATACATATATCTGACTATTCCTTACTAGAACTGATAAAAAATTCTAAACTTTTTGGGGAAGAAAATTTTGAAATTTGATATGGATTTGAGAAAAGAATACGCAATTTCCAAATTGACTAATGCAAATAGCTATTTTGTCAAAAACCTAATGGTTTTGGGTGGGTTTACGACGTTTCTGACGTATGTATTATACGTCGTAAATGTATGTCATTTATGTCACTCTTTCTGACGGACCATCTCTGCTAATGGCAGCTGATGAATGTTGTTTTAATTTTAAATACATATTATTACAATTTAAAACAACAATTCCATGAAAATGTTAATTTAAATACTTCCAAATACCATGTCCTGCCAATTATCCTGCTGATTTTTCCATTTTTATCTTTGCTGCAATGTAGCGAGGAAATCGTTCGTCCAGCACTTCCAAAAGTGAGATTTAATTTTTTGCGCCAGCTTCCACCGTTCCAAGCACCCAATTTGATTTAATGATTTCCAATTCCAAATATCATGTGCTCAAAAAACGGCTTCATGTCAAAATAGACGATCAGAATCTATGTTGAGGTCACCACGTCTACTGATCTCACATGATCTGAATTTTTAATTTCCCCGATTTTATCACCATCATCAAAATCACCTAGTATTGACTTTAGGTACGATATTCCTCCGAGTGTAATTCACAGACACCTTTTTTGGCCCCTGTACTGTCTCCTCACACTCCAATGGGCATATCTTGATAATTGGTCTTTTCACCGTGCCGATACATGTCTTAACAGTTGCGGTTCGCACTAAGCTATCTCTTCCCCGATGTGTCTCTATATTATTCTTTCCAACGGCCAACGAGCTGGATGTGTATCTCTATTCTTTAAAATTACGAGTTGTCCCTTCTGTTAATTGTCCTGCTGATTTTCGTCCAGCACTTCCAAAACTGAGATTTAATTTTTTGGACCAGCTTCCATCGTTGTAAGCACCCAATATTGATTTGAATATTTCCAATTCCAAATACCATATGTTCACAAAACGGCTTCATGTCAAAATATACAATCAGATTCTATGTCGAGGTCACAACGTCCACTGATCCCACATGATCTGAATACACTACTGTGGAATTCTTTATTTCCCCGATTTTGGCGCCAGTTGAATCCGCTTTTAAGCCTACAATCCTCATCATCAAAATCACCAGCACGTACTCAATATTGACTTTAGGTATGATGTTCATCGGAGTGTAGTTCACAGACACTCAATCTGGGTCCTGTACTGTCTCCTCACACTCCAATGGGCATATCTTGATAATTGGTCATATCACCGTGCCTTTTCACGTCTTAACAGTTCGCACTAAACCATCTCTTCCCCGATGTGTCTCTATTTTTTTCCCAACGGCCAACAAGCTGGATGTGTATCTTTATTCTTTAAAATTACGAGTTGTCCCTTCTGTAAATTGTCCTGCCGATTTTCCATTTGTATCTTTGCTGCAATGTAGCAAGGTAATCGTTCGTCCAGCATTTCCAAAAGTGAAATTTTTATTTTTTGGACCAGCTTACATCGTTGTAAGCACCCAATATTGATTTAGATATTTCCAGACAATCAGATTCTAGGTCGAGATAAACACGTCCACTGATCCCACATGATCTGAATACACTATTGTGGAATTCTTTATTTCCCCGATTTTGCCGCCAGTTGGATCCACTCTTAGGCCTACAATCATCATCATCAAAATCATCAGCCCTACCCAATATTGACTTTAGGTACGATTTTCATCCGAGTGTAGTTCACAGACACTCTTTCTGGCTCCTGTACTGTCACCTCACACTCCAATGGGCATTTCTTGATAATTAGTCTTTTTATCGTGCAGTTACACGTCTAAACGGTTGCGGTTCGTACTAAGCCGTCTGTTCCTGGATGAGTCTCTATTATTCTTCCCAACGGCCAACGAGCTGGATGCGTATCTTCATTCTTTGAAATTACGAGTTGTCCCTTTTGTAAATTGTCCTACCGATTTTTCCATTTGTATATTTGCTGCAATGTGGCGAGGTAATCGTTCGTCCAGCATTTCCAAAAGTGAGATTTTTATTTTTGCACCAGCTTCCATCGTTACAAGTACCCAATTTTATCCTGATTGAGTGTTCATCCAATATTGAACGGCCCATTAGAAAATGGCCCGGAGTAAGAACATCCAGGTTGTCGTTACCGCTACTCAATACGCACAATGGTCTCGAGTTCAACACGGCCTCTATCTGCGCAAGTAGCGTTCTTAACTTCTCGAATATCATCTCATTTTCTCCGATCATCCTCCTGTGATGATACTTCACCATGTTTCGAAATGTCATCTTTCACTTGATCTTTCAATCGAATTCGTGGCTTTCCCTTCTGTGTGACTCATCAGTTAGCTCGCTTTTATATGCCTTTTGAGGTGGGTCATCCTCATCCAATCTCACAACATGACCTAGCCAGACAGAACATTTGTTCCATATGACGAGCATAAAAAAGTTTTCCAGTCGCGCAGTTCTTCCTACTCCATCAGTAACTAGCTTTTATATGCCTTTTAAGATGGGGCATTCTCATCCAATCTCACAACATGACATAGAACATTTGTTCCTACGCCGAGCTTAAAACAAGTTTTCCAGGTGCGTCGGTCTTTTGCGTAGCTCTTCCAATTTGAATGACCATGTTTCGAAATATTCTCTTCCACTTGATCTTTGCAACGAATTCGTGGAAGTGTCAGCGTCTTATAGAGTGTGTGTTTGGTCAAACGAGAGGTGACCTTGTACCTAAATTTCTTACTCAGACAATAGTAGAATCTGTTGGCCAACACAATTCTTCTACGGATTTCAAAGCTGAAGTTATTAGTTTTTTTATGGCGGTACCAAGGTACCGAGGTATATGAATTCGTTCACTATATCCAATATGTAGTTTTCAAGTTCTTGTGGACGTCTTGCGCGTTGATACCATCAGCTTGGTCTTTTCACCATTTACTGCCAGATCGGACATTTGTGAGGTAATCTCTCGAAGCGAGCGGTGGTATTTCCCAGCATGTGTGTCCTAATCATCATAGCAAATACCTTATAAGCATTGCATTTGGAATTTCAGCCTCTTATCTTAAAACAATCCCACGATCAAATCTTTTTTAATACAAAATTCTGTACAAAATATTTTGAACATGCTGACGACTGTTCAAACATACTAAAAATTAATACCAGTAATGAACTGTTATCCATAGGCTAAATATTTAAAAATTACACGCATAAAATGTAATTAAGTAAAACTAAACTCATCAAGCAGCATCTACGTAAAATAACCCACGAATCGTCTAAGTCAATTTTCAATAGAGACTCCATTAAAAGATCCTCCACCTTCATCTACAGCTTTCATCATCCAGGCAAAACTATTTATCTGAGGCGATTTCTCCTGCCACTCTTCAATACCCTGAGGTTTCTTCCCTTGATGATGTACATGGAGCATATCTTGCTTGAATTCTTTTTTCAATCCATATTTTTTTGGAATCTTCAACTGGTTTGTGACTTTTTGCTTCTGTTTCCGCGTTAACTACTGCTTATTCCGTTTTTGAA